TTCGAAAAACGGACTGCGGAATCGGATTTGGAATGTCGAAAAATGTCAGGATAGGTATACTCGATCAAAGTCAAAGGTCGTTTAATGCCCGGTCAAAGCCAGTCAAAGTTTTGGTCAACAGTGGTCAACGGTCAACGGGTCATGCCGGGTCAACGGGTCGGGATGGGTCAACGGGTCGGGTCGGGTTGTGACCGGTCAAACCAGTCAACTGTGCACCAAAACCGGTCACTTTTGTCTTCCCCACGCGTAGTGGCGGCGCGTGGGGGCACGTGAATAGTGTCCTGATATCGGAAAATTCCCGAAAAAATTCTTAAAAATTATTTTAAGCTATTTCGAGATACTTACAAAGCTCGGTTCAAATTTTTGAACGGTGAAGAGCTCGATTTCAACGAATCGAAAACTTTGACTGCTTCATCTCCACACGCGCCGCCGTCGCTGGAGAAAAGGGATGACACCGGTGGACTCGGAATGGCACAAGGAACACGATGGTACGAGAGGTGTCGTAAATGGATGACCCGATCGTCGTGAATCGATGAAAAACCAACTAAAATCGGGTTATTATCGACGATACTTTCGACTGAAATTAACGACGAACGGCGATGATTCATGACGAAAGCTTTGAGGGGTTTTGTTCCTCGCTCGACAACGAACACGATGGTGGTTTCGGCTCATCGATCGGAGGTCGGACGACGAGTAGATCAGAGTTGAAAGTTGGGTCAACGGGAGAGGAAAATTGGAAATCATTCTGCTGAACTTGCCTGAACTTGAGGTGGAACTTTCTGTCCTTCAGTCTGAGTTGGATCGGATCTCCCACCTGTTGAAGATTGCAGACCCAACTGGAGAAGCTGCTAAGAAAAGGGATACAAAGGCACAAGTACCAGCACCCAAAAAATCTAAACCTTCTGCGGCTGTTGTCCGGAAGCAAACTCCAAAGGAAGCCAAAATATTAGTACATCTACAGAATCAGAAAATTCTCCCATGCAGAAAGAGGGGGTCGCAGATGTCTCTACAAAATCAACGAAGAAACCAGAAGAAAATATTGTTAGTGATACATCCGAGGGAAAAAGGCTATCTGTACCGTTGCAAAGCCCCAGTGGCTTGGTGCTGTTGAGAACAAGGAGATTAAATATTCGAATCAAGTAATAGAAGTAGATACACATTAAGTTGACGAATTTGTTGACTACAAAGATAGGAAGAAGGTACTTAGGAATGCCGACAATCCACAGGTTAAAGAGCCAGGAATTGAGACTGCTGCCTCCGGTTTGATTATAAGGAAACAGAAACAGGTTGAGAAACCTGAAGCTGATGATAAAGCCTCTCCTCTGCTGGTGCTGAAGAAATTGCGCAGAATGCCGTGGCACTGTTGTTGAGGCACACTAGAGGATACCATGCAGATGATAACGGATTGTATGAAACCCCTGATATGTTGGCCATAAATCAATCCAAGGACAAGAATAATCCTAAACGAGTGCTTCGTCCTGAGAGGCTTTCATTTCTTGTTAGCAATCCAGAAGAATCATGGGTTCCTCTTGAAGGTACTCACTTTAGCTTTTGCTTAGTGTCAATGAAATGGAAATTTGGGTTTGTAATGTGTACTGATGAATGGATTGCAACTTGATTCCATTCATAGGAATCACACTGTGATCTTTATAAAAATAAATTATTTTCCTTGCAGGCCAATCTGGTGATGGGAGAACTAAGTTGAATTATCGATATGATACTTGTCATTGTATCACTCGAGTTGGAGGTGCAACTCTATCTCAGAAGTGGTGTGCCATGCACCTCCGCTTGTGAGGATCTCATGTATAGGAATGGCAACGGGGCGGGTTTTGCTCTCCCGTCCCTGTCCCCGAAATGAATCCCCATCCCCGTCCCATTTTCCGTCGGATTTTTTATCAAGACGCCCCGTCTGGATTTTTTTTGCCCCGTCTCCGAACCCGACCCGAAATATTATACCCGACCCCAACCCGATCATATTAGGGCAAAAAAAGAATAAATGTATTTATGTATGTATACATGCATGAATGTATGTAGAACATGAGCAACCTGCTGGAACCATCATGGCAACATCACTCACGTATTAGGGCAAATAATACTGACCCTGTCATACCCATTAATAGTTTGATAATTTTTAAATTTCTCCATAAAGATGACCATGACTTGGTAACATCTTCATATTTTATATTTTACAAAGGGTTAGCTATGACTTTTAAACGAACCCATCTCCAGATTTAATAATTAAAATTCTCAATAATCGATATTATATTTGTTTGAATATTTTCTTATATATAAAGAGTGTCTTATAGGTTTTGTTTGTATTTTATATAATTAATATAAAAAATAAAAAATATTATATATATTTAATCGGGGCTGGGCGGGGCGGGGATACCTTGCCCCTAATCCGAACCCGAACCCGAACCCAAAAAAATCCCCGAATTTTATTCCGATACCCGACCCGAACTTAGCCGGGTTTTCCCGTCGGGTTCGGGTCGTCTTACCATTCCTACTCATGTAGCAGATTGACTTGAATAGGATGAATTTCGATGTACCTGGAAGAACATCCAGTCATTGGTTGGAGAAAATGCGTAGGAATGAACAGAAATTGGAGGAATAGTTGGTACAAAAGAAGAGAAGAAAAGAATGAGATAGAAAATCACGTAAAAAGGTTGTTCTATGCTTTGATGTATAGAAATATCAATATGTTATACGTGCCAACATTTTCCAATAGAAAGATCTAATACGAGTTTGCAGATTAAATTCATGTATGTCACATTCATGTAACTAATATTACCCGAGTCCAAGTAATTTAGCAAGAGGAAGCTTACTTTCCTTTTCTTCTTTTTAAAATACTTCTCTCAACAGAAATAATCACGCGCTTGCAGAAAATTCTATCGACTGCTCAGACGTTATGAATCTATTATCTAGTTGTGAGAATGATGGTGCCATTCCATCAGTGCTTGCAAATACTCGGAACTCAATTGAGTAATGGTGCTCCTTTTAAAGCATTAGATATTCCTAGACAAAATATCGTTATAAATGCATTCTTTTTATTTTTACCTGCTTCAGAGGAAGCTTCGTTGTTATTGCTAATGTATTGTTTAATCACAGTATCTCCCATTTCCCATGTGAAGCTTTTGCTTCTTGGGTTTGAATGATGTTTCTGATGCCATTAGCAGGTGTCTGATGAGGAGTATTTTGCGGTAGATCATAGACGTGATGATTTTGAATGGAGAGAGAACATAGCCAATTTGGGAAGGGAGCAATGTCCTTCAAAATGACCTTGCTGGTCTGGTTTTAGACAAATATTGTTTGCATGAGCTGGAAATTTAGATTTTGACTCCCCACCAGTAGTAAATGGTGGCGTATTAGGTTGCCAATGGCCATCGTGGCAATTTACTTTTTTTCTTTTCTTTTTTTACAATTATCTTCAACTTATCCTTTCCATCATTAAACCATGGAAAAGCATCAAAGACATGGGAGCTTAAAAACCCAAGATAGGAACTATGAACTTCTCATACCCAAAATGAATACTTCTGTGACATCAGTTTTTAATTCTGGGTTGTTGGGATATTCATGAAAAGTTTGAAACTTCAAATGAAAGTAGGCCACTTTTTGGACACCGAGTGGAACGTGGGGAGAGAAAGCTACTTGGAGGGGATAGAATAGAACTGCCGCACACATTGGGCAAAGTGGTGCAGATTCTCGGTAGCTATCCATCCCCATACAAATATGACTTGAAATCCTACTTAGTTGGACGGAAGTGGGTGATTTCTTGGATCAGCCCCCCACAATGGCCAAGTTTTTAGTTTGGGTCATTCTCAAAGTTGTCAACTTCTTTCTTGGATCACTCGTTTCCTATATTTTACTCAACACCCAGAAGTTAATAATGTATGAGAGAGAGAGAGAGAGAGAGAGAGAGAGAGAGAGTATAGGGATCTTGAATGGTGGGTTTGAATTCTTCAAAATCGAACTTCTTGGTGCATGGGTCATTTTGGAATTATATTTCTTTCTTTTGATTTTTTAATGGGATTTTGGTCATATCTAATTATATTTTCTTTGTCTAACCATAGATTAATCATGTATTTTTGGTTAAATTATAAATTTAATAACTCAATTTTTTGAAACTCTTATTTTAATCATTACAGTTTGAATTTTTTAATTTAGTCATTGAACTTTTGATTTGTTTTCATTTTACTCACTAAAGTATTAAATTAGAAATGAAATGGTGACATGAAAATCATGTATATTGATGTTGACTGCTTTCTTATTGACATGACATCTAAGTGTTATCTATGTTACTTACACGTTTTTTTCTTGATTTCTTTTGATTTCATCTTCAATTTTTAAAGATAAAAGTTTTTCAGTTCAATCCTTGTGTTATGTTGGTGTTGAAATAATCATTTATGACTTTTTATCCAACCAATCAAGACACTGATAAACTTATCTCATCGTCTTTTATCACTCTATTTTAGATTTTCTCAAAATCACTTTAAAATCACAAAACTCAACATGAAACCTAAAACATACAAAACTCTAAACCACATTGATTTACAATTTCTATCACCCAATTGACATAAAATTAAAATATACAATTCATTTTCTTCTTATCTACTTTGATTTGGAAGAAGATGTTCTGTCATCAAGAAATTAAAAAGAATATGAAACTATTTTTTTTTTACAAATAAGAGTTTTGATTTCATTTCATAATTTATTTTAAAAATGCTCATTCATAACACCACTATATAACAATATAATGACCAAAATATGAGCAAATAAGAACTTTAGTGAGTAAATTAGAAATATTTAAACTTGGTAACTAAAATAGAAGTGAAAAGAAAGTTGATTGATGTAATTTATAATTTATCCTTTTTATGTTGAAAGAGGCGAAAACCACATCAGCAGCTTAATCGAAATAATTAAGCCATTGATAAAAAGAATGGTCTTTTTCTTACCATCCCTGCAAAGTAGATAATAAGGGAGAAACATGAGTTTGGGAGAAATTGGGATCTGCATCTTTCCATTATTTGTGAAATATGTCTGATAATAAACATGTATTTTAAGTACAAAAGTGCAAGTGAAGATCATAATTTAACCATGATTCAGCTCATGTTCTTCTCCAAGGTTCATCCAACAGTTGTAAACATTCGTGTGGATTCGAATAAAAATAATCTTCTTCTTTTGGTCTATCCGGTATCACGGCCCGTTTCTTCGGGTTTCCTATTCTATTCGAATGAACTTCCTTCACGGTATCGGAGAACTCGTCCCAGCTTAACAATCCATTATGGTATTGATCTATTAACTTGACTAGAAGTTTTCGGTCTAGTAAGATAGTTTTCTTGAACCCCAAGAATCTGGAACGTGTTAAACAGGCAATTGCAGATAAAAATCAGATCGAATTTGAACACGCCTTTGCTATGATATGAGATGACAACAGAATGGTAAAGTATAGATATTAGGTTCGATATGTTACCTCCGATGGCCTTCGATCACTTTGGCCATGTTCCCGTCGTATGTCGGAACGAATATATCGCTTTCTAAGGCGACTAGATAATCCAATGCTGCCATTTGGGATGAGTGGTTTTGGAAGAATTTCAAGTCCGATCGAAGTAGAGTCTCCTTTCTGACCTGTCTTGCAAGAAAAGCCGATTGTTAGTGCATATATATACACATCGTAGCGGTAGAAACTACATTTTACTGACCAAATTAGGAAACTCTTTTGCTAACGGAGCCATCCGTCTCTCACCACCGTAAATTTCTCCCGCAGCAATGTAAATTTGAACATTGCGGTCAATACCGAGCGCTTTTAGTACTAGAGCTGTTTCTTCTGGTGTCAAAGGACACAATCCTTCATTCCTTTTCATTTCTGAATTTATTATCTTTTCCTTCCACCAGGGATAAGCATACCTAAAAGCACCGGATTCGTCGTAATTAGTGAAGGGATGATGAAATTTATAGTTACGCAGACGACAAACGAGCTTAAGGGTTACCTCATTCTCGTAAGTTCTTCCTCTTCCTCGCTGTTGCAGCCATGAGTGCAGCCGGAAAAGGCCAACATGTCCATTTCATATCTGAGATGAAGCACAAGAAAAGGGCCCTTCTCCCTTAAAATCTTGACAACCTTTCTACCCAACTCCTTGATTTGGGAAGTAAATCTCAGCGCATTGAAATTTACACGGCAGCGCAGCTTCTGAATCTCGAGGGGTAGTCCGTTGTTTGCAAGCCGAGTATCGGTTTTATTCAACTGTACAACTTTGTGCTTTCGCACAAGAGGAAGAATCTGCAAGCAATAACTTCAGAAATTAGCTGTGCAGTTCAATGAATAGAGTACAATTCCAAGACACCAAAGCTTATTCCATCTTCAAGCAATAGGCAACTAACCTCATGAGCATAATAAGAAATATCAGACCAACTAGTGGGTTGCATAGAGATGAACATTCCGTGATCAACCCTTTGCTGAACTCGATGTGGTAGTTCCTTCAATATCCGAACCTCGTCTCTCAAGGAAGTAATGAAGTGATCAACATCGAAAATGTCCTTAAACTCACTGATAGCATGAACACCAATTAGACGACCATCTAGAATTGCAAGGCACAATTCTTATACTTTTTTAATTGTTCAAGAACAAAGATTGAATGCATAGCATGTACCTAGGATCATTCCAGAAAGAGGTTTTATCTAGTTCTGGGACAATAAGTGTGACATTTAGGTATCTGGCAATGACAACCATGTCGCAAATCTGAAAATCGAACCCGGAAACGAAACGGTTAGCATCTGAATCGATTCTAAGATTAAAAAAACGATTATCAACTTACTGCAGCTCGCATTTGGTTAAGTCCTCCATTGCAGGAAACCATAAGATAACCATTGTTCTTATATAACCCTGCAAAAAAAAATCATCAAATAAGAACAGTAATCATAGACAAGTTGATTGGGAAAAAAGAAAAAGCCCCATAAAAGCAAAAGATTCACAGGTAAATTAACATAAGAAAAGGGGGAAAGATTAAAAAAGCAGAGTCCTTTTTAATGACTCAAAAGGCAACTTTTGACAAGAATTGCCTGTGCACAAGAAAAGAAAATTTTACAGAGAAACACCAAATATAGACCAAAATTGAAATTGTAGAAACCTTGAGGACTTACTTTTTGGAGGAAGAATGAGTTTTGGTGGAATGGAAGACAATTCAGAAGCAGATTGAGTGAAACAAGAAGGACAACCTTTCAACAATCTTGGACCAAACATTTCACCCAGTGTCATCAACTGAGCAAAGCAAGTCCATAACAAAATTGAAGTTAATGCCCTTAACATCCATAGCTTCATTCTAGGCCTTGAAACCATTGAATTCTTTAACTTCTGCACTCTCCCTTCCCCAAAAATCTTTATCTTCATTTCCCACTGTTTCTTGTAATCACACTTTCCACTTGTTTCTTCTACTCTACACATTGTAAATTACCCCTTTTCACCTCAATCTCAAACTCAACAACAACAACAACAAGAATACTTGAGTTCAAAGTTCTCCCCCACTTGCTCCAAAAATTTAGGCCTTTAATCAAATAAAATGAAAAAAAAAAAAGAAGAAACTTTGGGGGTTTTTTTTTAACAAGATAAAGTGATTTCTGAGAATTTTAATAAACTTAATCACCAACTTCTTGAACCACTAAACTTCCCTTGTAACCAAACTATTACATTACAAAATAACTAAAGACTAAGATTCTTTGGAACACCTACACTATGATTTCACCTAGAAACAACAGCTTCACCAAGCTTACCAAAAGCAAAACTTAAAAAAGGAAAAAGAACCCATATTTTAAAAACTACACTTTGTTTAGCTAAAACCTTGTAAACCCTCCACCTACATTAAATAAGCAAAAACCCAGATTTCAGATGATTCGGTTTCAACTAAATCTTCACTAACTATTCCCCAAAAAGCTTGTTTCTTTAGCCTGAAACTTAATGCTAAAACTGGGAAAAAGCTCAATAGAGGTTCATGCTTTCTTTCCCGGTGAAACTTCCGACCAGATCCGGCAAGGTCGGTGCCGTTGAACTGCTCAGAAAGAAACCAAAGTGAGCTTTAGAGAAAGAGAAATGAGAGAGAGAGAGAGGAAAAGGTGAGCTCTGAGTTGTGGTTTAATAGATGGCAAAAAATTAAAAAGCCTGCCGCAGTTAAGGCATTAATTGATAAAATTTTCGAGATAATATTTAAAAAAAATTAATTCACGAGATAATATATTTTTCAGATTAATTATTTAAATAAAGTAAAATTTATAGTGTTGGTTGTAGATTGTCATGTCTTTTGGGTGGCCTACTAAGTCGTCATATCTTCCCGGTGAACTATAAGAGATTGCATGTGTCATGCACGTCCCAACACGTTGAGCATCCGATGTCATCCGATCGAGTTATGTAAGAGCATTCGAGGTCATCCGACCGAGATCATCCGAACGAGTTATGCGAGGGCATCCGAGGGCAGCCGAGCGAGCTATGCGAGAGAATCCGAGCGAGCGAGTAAGGGTAGGTCGCCCGGAGGACATGAGGACTTATGTGTTGGGACGTGCATGTGCCATGCAACACGTTCATTCTCTCTATTTGAGCAAGGGTAGGTCGCCCGGAGTGCATGATGACCTACAAGGTCGTCCGGAAGGCATGACGACCTACGGCTAACACTGTAGATTTTACTCTATTTAAACAATTAATCTTAAGAGTGCATTAACTCGTGAATTGATTTATTCCATAATATTATCTCGAAATTTGTTGAGATTTCTTTTGCCGTTAATAAGTTTGGAGGATCTTCACTGCTGTTTGTTGACAAAATATGAAATTAAATGTTAGTAATAAAATTTCAACCTAAAAAAGGAAAACAAATCTACAATGTTAAACAACAACGTAAAAACAAAAGAATTTTATTTTTATTCAGAAACTAATCTGCTTTACTTGATTGGTCTGTTTTGTTTTATATTTAGGATAAAGTACATAAATAGTCTCCAACTATAGAATACTACTTTATTGAATATCTCGACTATTCAAAATTATAAAATGATCTATGATTATAGGATGAATGTTGCTTTGTTGAATGTTGCTTTGTTGAGTTGACTATTAAAAGTTACAAAATGATCACCCGACTATTTATTATGTTCCAAACTTGTCTTTTACCGTTAAAAAATTAATGACAGACTGAGCTAAATGTTAATATATTTTCTAAGATATGATAATCGTTTAATATTCTGAGATCAAATTTTAGTATATCTTAGACAATATATTAACATCCAACTCATATTGTCATCATTTTTTCAACGAAAAGAGATGAATTTGAAACATATTGAATAATTGGATGACCATTTTGTAACTTGTAATAGTTGAGGAACTCAAAAAAATAATACCTTATAATTAGAAGATCATTTTATAATTTTTAAAAATTAAAGAACTCAACAAAATAATATCATACAGTAGTGAAAGACCATTTGCACACCGTACCCTTATACTTTTTCCTATTGTTTTTAGTTTGTTTTTCTTTTACAATTATTAAACAACCATTCTTTGTTTTATATATTTCTTTTTTTTCTTCATATAATTATTTTTTTAATTTTACTTTTTAAAAATCCTAAAATAAAAACACCAAAGTCTATGAAAATTGGATTTTCATTTTTTTTACCTTTAATAAAAATAAGTATGTTTGGATCATATATAAGAAAAATCTTAGATTTATATTTGGATATTGATTATCATATAATAACTACAATTTATTTGTTAATCCTAAAATAAAAACACCAAAGTCTATGAAAATTGGATTTTCATTTTTTTTACCTTTAATAAAAATAAGTATGTTTGGATCATATATAAGAAAAATCTTAGATTTATATTTGGATATTGATTATCATATAATAACTACAATTTATTTGTTTACTAAAAGATTCCTTTTCCTTAATAATTTTTTTTAGATTTTAATATATATTTTTTGTTGACATCAATGACACCAAAAATAAACATCAATAGTGACTCAACTAAAGATTTATCATTTTCATTGTTTTTTAAATTATTTTTATTAATATAATAACCATAAATCATTATTCAAAGTTTTAATTTATTAGAAAAAGAAGGATTGGCCGCCCAAGCTCCTCTAAACTAATGAGACAAAATCCACCAGAACACATAGACAATGACATAAGATACGTATAGTCTTCTCGGTACAATGTACTATACACATAAATAATATTTAAATTTAAATATAAATATTATAATTATTATTTGTACCTTATCTATATCAATATATTGCTGGGCTTTGAAAATCTTATATGATAAGGAACTAAAAAATATATTGTAGCTTATATGAGTTATAAAAATTTATTTATTTAATTTATTAAATAATATTCAATCGATTTATTTATAAAAATTTAGTGCTCAACTATTAACTACGTGCACACATTCTACCGATACAAGTACAATTGCTTGAACTCACATATGCTGTTATCGGATGGTTAAAGATAAAAGGCTTCCTTAAATGGAACAATGGTAGTTTCATTTACTTGCATTTCTCTTTTACTATATATTTTTCAGATAAAAGATGTATTTTACCATTGCATCTAACTAGGGCGTTCATTTTTTGGTTTTAACCGAATTAACTGATCTAATCGAATTAGTTCAATTAATTCGATCGACCACCAAATTAGTTCGATCGGAAAACAATTAATAAATTTTTTAGAATTTGGTTAACGGTTAATTCGGTTTGAAATCGGTTAATTAATCAAATTAACCGAAATTAATTTTAAATATTAAATATATTATATATAACATATGGGCTCAGCTCAAACCATTCAAAATCCAATTAATAATTTAAGATTCAATAACTTTTAAACCTAAATCAATATTAATTAATTAAAAAAAATCCATATAAAATTTTTATTTTATAATTATATATTATTTAAATTAATTGTAAATTGTTTTTTTAATTAAAAAATATTCAATTTTTATATAAATTAGAAAATTTTAAAAAAAATTCGGTTAATTCGAAAATTAACTGAATTAATCAAAATTTATTCGGTTTGGTTAATATTTTCAAGAAAAAAGTTTGATTCGATTAACGATTAAAGAAAAAAATTCGATTAATGGTAATTCATTTCGGTCGGCCACCGTTTTAACATTCTGAAGACCCCCTACATCTAACATTTATTAATATAAATACATACATACAAAAAGGGTAAAGAAAAGAGCAATCTGTATTCCTTTTGGGGCATAAAAATTATGCACGAATCATGACCCCAGGTGCTCAATATGTTAATATTTCCGATAGTGGAGCTCAATCTCTGAATATGATTAAATGGTCCTTTTTTGGCTTCAATTCCATGCAAATTATTGTGCGACCGACGGATTTTTGTCTTGTGATATTCAGAGTCCAAGCTGTCATCTTTAATAGTTGATCAACTATAGTCGACAGTTCACTCCTACCAACAGCGATTTTGATCAATGCCGATGGTCCCCCATTATAAACCAAGAAACCCCAAGATCATCACTGTCTTGTATTTTGAGTTAACTAATGGAATTTAGTTTCAATTGTTATTTTTTTAAAAAAAATATTTCATAAATATATCAATTTAAATATTATTCGACATCAAATGATATTCACATAATTTTAAAATCTTAAATATTAAAATTTATGATAATAAACACGTTTGTGAAATAATAGCCGTTGACCGACCGTGTGTATGCTGCATGTAGGCGTGATATATTCCACGCTGCAAAAAGTCACGACGATGTTGCAGCCATGACTCGTACGACTCCGAAAGCAGTGAATTTACCATCATGAACTGAATGGTTTCCTCGGTCCCCAAAGGTTGAGTCCCACTGGTGGCGGATTTTGAATCTAATGTTGAAGAGGATATATATGTTGCTACAGCCTTGGCCATGTAGCGTCTCTGACAGGGGCCTCCCTGTTCGAGAAGGTGACGAGCCATTTGGCAAAAAGCGGGAGTTGCTTTCCCTTCCACCACCCCTACTCTCTGCACTGAACGATGCTCCTGTGGCAAATCGAGCTAGCATCTGTACAGAAAATATGCAGATATATGAGGCCATCTAAAAATGTAACATACTATAATGTAGATAACAAGTTTACATGCAAGAGCATACCAGAAAAATATCATAAATCAACAGACGGAGCCGACTTCCATCAGCACGACCAAGAGCATTGAGGTTATCCCAATATTGATCGACATAGCGAACATACTGTGCTAGTGGAACTGATGGTCCTCTCACAGGAAAAAGAGAATTGCAAAGTGATTCATTGTTTCTGAGAGTAACACACTCTCCACGTGCACTTCCTGACGTGCCAAACTCGCTTGCTATAAGAGTAAACACCCAGCAAGTCAGTGGGTCTCAAACTATATCCTTCTCGACACACCATACAAGCCAACCCATCTTCCAAACCTTCCAGAAGAGGCCGAGCAACAACTATACGCTCACAACCATCTGAAGCTAATTCGCATCTCATTCCCAGTCCCTGTATAGTCACCAAGAGAACACAATACAAAGAGTTGGTTCAGCTAGTAAAAATAGAAAAGAGAAAAACTGGTATGTTAATTTCTGTATCTACAAGCATGAGTAAGATTTATATTTAAATAAATACAACCATATAATGGAAACCATTCCCGAATATCATTTCCAATATAAAATAAATTGAGGTAAAAGGCTATGGAAAAAGACAACCCAACTACAAAATTGTAACTCATTTGGAAATTTCCACTTTCCTGCAAAATGTATGCAAGCTCATACAGAAGCAGAGAAATTTAAATTCAATGAAGAATACCTGAAGCAACTCTTCCCTTTTCCTTAGAGCTCACCGTCTCATTTCATCTCTGGTTGCAAGCCGCAACTTACGCATCTTCTCCTCCAAGAATCCATCTCCTTTTCCTTATCTGATAGTGTGTCCAACAAATTCTCCGGCTTCGCTCCAATCTCATTTTCTCCGGGCACACCTTCCGAAGCATGGAGTAAGGCAAAAATTCCACCTTCATCAATGCATCTTTGAGTGGCAAAGTGCCCCATTGATAAGCCCCTGAGCATTGACAAAACCAGTGGGACAGATGGAAGTTTCAAAGCTAAAGCCCATTCTGAACTAGATTTAAAGCCAGCCTGTCCTGCAA